TTCCATTGTGTAAATGTACCCTAGTTTTTGGATCCACTCATTTACTGATGGGCACTTAGGTTGCTGCTAACACTTGGCTATTGTAACTTGTGCTGCTATGAACATTGGGGTGCTTAAGTTCTTTTGACTATCATTTTGTTTTTTGAGGAAACTCCATACTGTTTCCCACAGTGGCTGCACCAGATTGCATTCCCACCAACAGTGCACTAGGATTCTCTTTTCTCCACAACCTCGCCAGCACTTACTGTTTGTTGACTTATGATGACCATTCTCACCAGTGTGAAGTTGTATCTCATTGTGGTTTTAAGCTGCATCTCTCTGATGGCTAGTGATGCTGAGCATCCCTTCATGTGTCTCTGGGCCATCTGTGTGTCCTCCTTGGAGAAGTATCTGTTAAAGTCCTTTGCGCATTTTTCAATTGGGTTGTTTGTCTTCCTGGAGTGGAGAAGGGTGAGTTCTTTGTATATTTTGTAGATCAAACCCTTGTCTGAGGTATCACTGGCAAATATATTTTCCCATATGGTTGCTTCCCTTTTTGTTTTGATGTTTCTTTAGCCACACGGAAGCTTTTTATTTTGATGAAGTCCCATTTGTTTATTCTTTCCTTTATGTTCCTGGCTCTAGGGGATGTATTGGTGAATATATTGTTGTTTAGAATATCTAAAATTTTCCTGCCTATGTTCTCCTCTAGGACTTTTATGGTATCAACACTTATATTTAAGTCTTTTATCCATCTTGAGTTTATTTTTGTGTATGGCATAAGTTGGTGGTTGAGTCTCTTTTTTTTTGCATGTAGCTGTCCAGTTCTCCCAACACCATTTGTTGAAGAGGCCATCTTTGCTCCATTTTATGCTAGTGCCCCATTTGTTGAATATTAATTGACTTAGAAACTTGAGTTTATTTCTGGGCTTTCTATTCTGTTCCACTGATCTATGTGTCTGTTCTTATGCTAGTACCAGAATGTTTTGATTACTATGGCCTGGTGATATAGTTTGATATCAGGTATTGTGATCCCTCTTACTTCTTTCCCAAAATTGCTACAGCTATTCAGGGTTATTTATAGTCCAGAGACAGATATTTTAAAAAGAATTCATCCAAATCCTTCTCAAACTCTTCCAAAACACTGAAGAGGAGGGACACTCCCAAATTCATTTTAAAAGGTCAGCATTACTCCGATACCAAAACCACATAAGGACGATACAAGAAATAAAATTACAGACCGATATCCCTGATGAAATAAGATGCAAAACAATCAACAAAATATCAGCAAACTAAATTCAACAGCTTATTAAAAGGATCATACACCATGATCAAGTAGGATTTATCTCTGAGATGCAAGGATGGTTTAACATAGCACAAATTAATAAATGTGATACACCACATTAATAGAGTGATAGATAAAAATCATATGATACTCTCAATAGATGAATAAAATGTAATACCACATCCATTCAGGATAAAAACTCTCAACAAATTGAGTTTAGAAGGAACATACCTCAACATAGTAACAGACATATATGACAAGCCCATAGATAGTTAACATCATACTCAATGATGAAAGGTTGAAAGATTTTCCCCTAAGAGCAGGACCAAGACAAGGATGCCAACTCTCACCACTCTTATTCAACATAGTTCTGGAAGTCCTAGCCAGAGCAATCAGACTATAAAAAGAAATAATACAAAGGGAAGAAGTAAAACACTATTTGTTTGCAGACAATATAATTTTACATTTAGAAAACTCTAAAGACTAAACAAACAAAAAAAACCCCCTGCTATAACTAATCAACAAATTCAGTAAATTTAGAGGATACAAAATCAACATTCAAAAAATCAGTTTTGTTTCTATTCATTAACAATGAAATATCTGAAAAATAAATAAAGAAAACAATCCCATTCACAATAGCATGAAAAACATTAAAATGCTTAGGAATAAATTTAACCAAGGAGGTAAAAGATGTGTATACCAAAAACTATAAGACTTTGATGAAATAAATTGAAGATATAAACAAATGGAAAGATAACTTGTGTTAATGGCTGGAAGGCTTAATATTATTAAGGTGTTCATAATACCCAAATAATCTATATATTTAATGCAATCTCTACTGAAATTCCAATGGCAGTTTTCACAAAAAAAAGGAACCCTAAAATTTATGACACCCTGAATAGCCAAAACAATGCTAGAAAGAACAACACAGCTGGAGGTATCATACTTCCTGATTTCAAATTATGGTGACCCTTTAACAATATAAGTTTGAAATATGCAGGTCCATTTATACGTGAATTTTTTTAATTGACCCTTGTAGTTCAACCAGTGTTGTTCAAGGGTCAATTCTGTGATTAGGAATCCATTTATGCAGAGGGTCGATTATAATTATATGCAAATTTTCCACTTTGTAGGAGGTATAAACCCATGATCCTGAGTTGTTAAAAGGTCAACTGTAGTTTGTATATTACAAAGCTATAGTAATTAAAGCAGTGGTGGTAATCATTGTGCAAAATATGTGTCTCAAATCAACCAGCTGTACATTTTAAACTTTCACAATGTTATATGTCAATTATAGCTCAATAAAGCTGGAAAGAAAATAGAAAGAAAAATTAGGTTAATTTGATGAAAAATGTTCCCTTTTTTCTGTTTTTTGTAGTGGTAGATTACTTTCAAAATCATATCTATATGTATGTACATATATATTATACATACAAATATACATATATACATATACATAAAATTTAGGCTAAATCATAAAATATGTATTTTAATGAAAGAATGGCTTACTTGTCTACCTACTATTTTGTTTTTAGCTCAACCTACCATTTTTAAGATCTGTACTAACCAAAAAGGTATAATGGAGTAAATTTCTTTTGCTATAAGAGTTATGGACTGTAGTTTTTTCTTAGGGTCACAAATTCAGGGTCACAAGTCAGTTGACAGGAGCTGCTCCAGTTGCATAACACAAATAACAGAATAAATTGGGCCCAGTTGACTTTTTGAGTGGGTACTTTGTGTAACTCCAATCTCCTCCTCTTCCACCTCTAAAGACAGAAGTAATATCAGCTGCTTCATTTGCTTTCCCCGTTTCAGAGAGACATCATTACCATCACTGAACGTATGACCTTTTTAGTGGATCCTTGTGGGCATCCCAGGCAAGGGAACCTAAGGCTTCCCCACCCTTCTTAGTCATTATGGTTCTTAATGCTGCGAGAGTGACACACATGCAGTCCTTCAGTGCTGAAGAAAGTGACCATGTTTTTCAAATTTCAGATAAGACAAAATATATTTAAAATATGAAATATGTCCAATGCCTAGTTCATCTTACTTGTAGTATGGCAATATGTCTTAGAGCTTGGCACCTCCAGCCCACACCTCTGTAGTCAACCCTGCCTTGTGGGTAACTGGCGCTCACCAACACCAAATGCTCAGGCTGCTCCGCACAAGGCAGCAATGAACCTACAACATTTTCTAAATTATATAAGACTTAAAAGACAGCTGAAGTGAAAAATCTATGATGCTGTGTCTTTTTTTTTAATTTTTTAAAATTTTATTGATTGATTGATTGATTATGCCATTACATTTGTTCTATTCCCCCCTCCGTTCCCCTCCACCCTGCACCCCCTCCCCCACCATTCCCCACCCCTTTAGTTCATGAACACGTGTCTCAAGTTCTTTATGATGCTGTGTCTTAATGTAGGAATAATTTGAAGAGGAGATTCAGAATCCAAATTTCCTCACCAAACTTTCAATTTTAATTCATTCTTACCCCCCAATAAATTGACTATGTATTTTATCTTACCTTTATGACCATGAAGAGGAACTTTTAGCTTAAATTATGAAACTATTTAAATATAAATTATTGTTGTGTCACCTATGCTAAAAGCCTACTGAATCTCAGTATTGATCTTCCAACATATATTTCAGTAACCCTGTTCGAATTTTTAAAAATACTAAATAATTTTGTCAAGGGCTAAACTATATTAGGAGGGAGAAAGCTTTTTTCTCTCTTCAATTTTGTCTAGAGAATGCCACTAAATACACTTAAGGTCAGGAAGGGGCAAAATAAAATCTAAACATGAATCTTTAATTAAAATGTTAGATTGAAAATAATAGGACTAGGGGGTAGGAAAAAATTAATCTTGTAGTTGAAGGAACTGGAATGGAATTATCTTCTACAAAGCCCGGAAGGATGGTTTGGAAGGAAGATAGGCCTGGGCTGAGAGTTTAACTTTTGAAGGAATAATTGAGAAAGAAGATAAAAACAGGAATGGGGAGAAGGTGGGACCAAACTTAACAACAGAAAAGGCAGACGTGCTTTTCTATTGTTAATAGAAACGGGAAGCTGCTGGTTAGAAGCACACAGGAGAAGGGTGCAGACTGCAGAAAAGGGGATGAGCTGACATGATATATAAAACGGAAATGGAGCTGGGGGTGTGAAAGGTTACTTGAGTTAGGATTCAGGGGAAGGAGGAAGCAGGAAGAGAACGATTGGCCTGAGGAGAAAGGGTGGGAAGGTGCTGTGGTAATAAGGATGGAGGTGTAGAGATGCTGAGTGGGAGAAAGGGCAGAGGCTAGTGGACAGGTGGTCAGGGGTTAAGGATGGCCCTGAGAAGAGAGGGGTACGGTGTGGGAGAATGAGAGTGGGAGAGGACTTAAAGAGAGCTTGGGAGGAAGGAGGGGGTCAGTGATCTAGAGGGAGAAGAAGCAGGGGCTAGAGCAGCAAGGAAGAACATGGCTAAGCCAACTGCCTGAATGAATGAAAGTAACAGACTGCCGAGGTGGAGTGGAAAAACTAGAAAGGGATGGAGTGGCGGATAAAGGAATAGGATAGAGAGGGTGAAGCTGAGTGGGGAGGACGACAGAATTGCCACGGGGAAGAGAAAAAGGGGTCGCGGCAGAGGACGGGTTTGAAGGGAGAGAGAACAATCTTGAGTGAAGAGAGAGAGGGCGGAGAGCCCTCCGAAGCCTCCGAGGGTGGGGACAGGTAGAGACAGGTAGGAGAAGTTCTCACCGTGGAGTCCGTAAAGGATGTGCCCGGCAGAAAGGGCAGGCCATGCACTGGGTTCGACACCATCGCAGCCACTATGCCTTGCCACCACGGACTGGTTTTTTTGTCTTTCCTGGTTGCCCCGGAGACCAGACGCCACCATGGGCCTTCTGTAGCCCCATGGTAACGCTAAACATTGCAGGCACCCAAGAGTGGAGGGAGGGGCCTGAGGCACCAGAATGGCAGGTATGCGCATGCGTTTCCGATAGGCCCCGCGTTCTATTGGAGAGCTCGACCAAAGGGGCGCGGTTAGTGGGCATTTCGGAACTGGTCCCGCCCCTCTTGTCTCCAGGCGCTGGTGGGCGGGTTGGAAGGAGGTGTGAGAGGACAATATAGTTCTCGCGGTGGAGTTCATATGTCAGAGCAGGTCCTTAGATGAATCAAAGTAGGAAGGAAGTTCCTTTTCTCCACCCCAGTTCTTACTGCGCCTGCTGACATCCTGAGCTCAAGGGCTTTTTCCCAGCTCTAGGAAAAGGGCTCTGGTCCCAGTTGGCAATGAAGTGTAAATGGACAGAGCAGTCACAGAGACATAAATTACAGCGTAAAGAATATTGCCAGTAGTATCGTAATAACTATGTATGTGACCAGGCGGGTTCTTGAAATATCGGGGATGACGCTACAGAGCACTCGATTGTCTGTGTTATATATTTGAAACCGATACAGAATAATATTAAATGTAAACTAAAATTTAAAAAATTAAAATAAAAAAAAAGGATGTTACCTACCCTGATGGTGCTTCTTGGGGGCAGGGGCTGGGATTATTCATGGTTCTCTCTCTGTTGCTTAAGGGTGTTTGATGAATTTATGCTACCATCTTGTCCCTACTCCTCTCTCCACTACATCATTTTACCCCCCACGTTTGTTTTTCTTTCTTCTACTGTCAATCCCTGCAGTTCTGCACCCTCTCAGTTCTTTCAGGCAGGAATTTGCATATTTGGCTCAGGACACTCAATGTTTGTTGAACTGAAAACCTACAGGACAGTCATCTCAAGTCTGATCTCTAGTTGATGCCTACCTGCAGCAGCAATGAAAAGAGCAGAACCACAAGGGGAAACGCATCTTCAAAGAGGAAACTATAATAAATCAGAAGACTAAAATAAATCGGGTGAAATACTCTTATAACCATAGCTATTCTCACCTTTGGTGCTCTTTACAAAACTTAGTTAAATTATTATTCCTTAAACGAAAATGTAACCCTCTTTCGGAAACATTCGCAAAAAGAAAAAGGAAACAATTCATCAGCACTGCGGAGCTTAAACATCAAACAAAAGCCTGGTGCCCAGACATTGGATTTATTGGGACTGAAATGGGGCCCAGGAACCTGATTTTTATAATAGCTCTTGCTGTTCATGTAAAACAGTAACATAAACAGAGCCACTTTAAAGTGGAGGTGGAGCTGCCACATCAGAGGAACTGCCTTGCAGGTCTTATGTCTCAAATCTCTGGAATGTTAGACATGGCGAAATAACCTTTGCACTGGGCCTAAGCCACCTTGTGCCTTGTGAAAGAACTCTTTGCAAAGACACCAAGAAAGCATTTATTATGGCTACTGAACTGCTAAATTGGACCGGACTGAAAAATTAAAAACACTGTTTAGGATTAACATCACTATGTTATCTGCACCAATAGAAGTACTTTCCTTCTATTCATGTCATTGTTCGCCTCCCCTTTCTCAGAAATACCCATTGTCTTTTTTTCCTAGTGAGAACCTTATTTGGGCTTCTGCCTCAATTGTTGATTCCTGAACAGCTGTTCTTATTGATCTCAACACATGCTTGTTGTAGCTCACTTTAAAAGGCCTTTTTATTTATAAGTTAACAATAATGAGCCAATTTAGGAACATGATAGAGTAGCAAGCCTGACATGGAAGGCATATCTCCAAGTCGTGAGTAGATTACTGCCAGCACAGACCAAAGCTTCAGTTCTGTTGCTGCTTGTCAGAGCACGTCCCCCTGCTGGGTCGCCTAATGGTCATGAAGCTCAGGGGGCCCAGGACATGAATCCGCTAGTGGCACCTGAGACAGTTACCGGTGGCTTTCTGCCACCCCCTGCCCCAAGTTTCTTTCCTACGAAATATTCCTCTCCCCTTACTGTTTCCATTTCCTGTTTCCCCCTTTTAAATTTTAATTTTCTATTGGTATATTATCTTAATGCAGGTGTTTGATACATTTTAAAATATTAATGAATTGATTAGCATTGTTGAACTTACTGAACACTTTCAGGTATCTGTCCATCACATTATATCTTAGCAACTGACCTAAGATAGAGACCAGCCACTGGAAGAATATTTCCAGTTGGCAAGTTTAAACTTCAAAGAGGACATGCTTCTCCTACTTCTCTCTGCCTCACTAATGCTAAGTACCCTGAATCACTGACAACTAGAATCATTGCTGACTTTTCATGACAGTCTGCAACCCTTACCACTTGTATGATCCCTCTCTTTGCTCTCTTAATAAAAGTAAATCCGTGGCGTTAGGAAACACTTTGAAGAGCCCTTCTGGGCTGTGTGCTTGCACTGGGGTCCATATTCCTGTGCTGGGTAAGAGTGAAGCCCATGGCTAGGGGTGAGTCATGCCTAAGCCTATTATCCATTGTGTCATCTGCTTCTATTTGAGGAATGCCCTCTGCTCAAAAGCCTTCCTTGCCCAGAAAAGCACACCAGTTAAATGGTCATTGGAGAGCTTTTAACTACTTTCAGACCCTAGAAAAGCAAGGTGAAGAAAATTTCTCTCCATCTATGATATCATAAAAATGTCATCACTTCTGATGAAGGAAAGTCAGGCAGTGTTGCATCAGTGCTAAAAAAGCACAGGTACAGGGCTGTGAAGGATGAAAAAAAAAAAAAAAAAGACAGGGCTTTGGAAAACTGCTTCAACCCTTGAGAAGGTTTGGCATGATTAAGCGTTTATACCCCATTTCTCCCAAACATGACTTCTCAAGATGCATTGCACTTCAGTCCGAACTCACCATTTTCCACTTTGTGGACCAAATAGGAGAAAGCAGGAGCCTGACCATTTCTGTTAGCTAAAGTAGAAAGTGCCGTTCTTTGCAGACTGTGCATAAAGCCTGGACTCAGAAGACCACCGAGGTGTTGCATGACCTGAGCAGGTTGTTTCAAAGATTGGGGAATGAAAAGTATGGAAACATCAGGCTGCCAGAAGGCTATGCCTGAACTGGTGTCATGCTGAACTCCTGAGGAGTGAGCACCCACTCAAAATAAACATCTCCTTTTTCAGCATTTTTCCCAGAGCTGGCTTTACATGAAATTTAATTTCAATCCTATGACATTATTCTTCAGTACTTAAAAATCACTGGACAAATATCAAACTGAGTAGTGTGTGCACACCCTGTTGTCTTGTTATTTCTGCACGGATTTGGTGCTCTTCCTCCCTCTGCTGGGTGAAAATGGTACAGTGTGGTTTCTGAAAAACAAACCCAATTACACACCTGTAAATTCAAAAGGGTTGGGGTGTGCCTAGTGTTTGAATGTGGAGATAAGATTTTGCAAGGGAGTATCCCTAAGCCAGGGTGCTCTCTTTGCCATTCATTTTCATCATTCTTTGGTTTATCTCTGGAATCTCTTATCTAAAAAGAGTGATAAACAAACAAACAAACAAAGTGCCCAGTAAACCACTTTGATCTTTACAAAGTGTGGGTCCATAACATAGTGACTTCCAAGCAGATGCTGGAGCAGATTTAGGACCCACAGAAAATTTTCATTTGATACAAAATCACACAATTTGGGTTTAGACTATTTTAGTCTTGCCCTGGGCTCCTGCCAAGCATTTGAAAAGTTGTGTTTCTGCTGCTTTTTCCTCCCTTACATCAACCCCTCATTCTATGATTATAACTGATTCCGTTGGAATTCCCTTCCTGCTGAAAAGTCCTATCAGACTTCTCTGGAGTGTATCATGAGAGCTGAAGAGTAGAGGCAAGAATCAGGTGAGCAGTTGCCAAGGTTGGGCCCAGGAGCATCTGCTTCAACAGCGTGGTGTCAGATGGGAAACATTTTTCTTTGACCACACTGCAACCATCCTACCACAGGTTCTACTGCACCCACACATGTGATAAGCTACCCATCAGTACGTCCTCTGAGTTTATGTTTGAGACCAGCAAGCCGATTTCTCTCTTTAATGTAGTATAGGTGAGGGGGGAAAGGCGTCTGCTGATGCCGGTGACGGTCTGTGACGCACAGTCGGAGCACTGAAGAGGGAACGTGGGGGAAAGCAAGAAATTCCCCACTACTCCACATGCAAAACCCAGCAAAATAAAACCTATCTCGATCTATTATGAGTGGAGAGAAATCCCCTCCAAGGTCAGAGAGTGCCCACTCTGTCAAGAGACTTCCGGGAGCCCGCAGAAAGGGTGGACGCATGTGCATAGAACCCACAGTACCCTGCTTGGAGTAAAGTGATAGAAATCATAATAATGACAATGATTGCCAGGGCACTTACTGAACGTAAACTTTGTGCTAAGGTATACTTCCACAATAAAATCAGTCATATTCTGAAATAATTTGTTCTTGCTTGAAAAAGAAAGAACACTGAATTGAATAAGATGTTTGTCTTTAAAAGAAATTGTTTGAGCCCAAAATAGTGCTCAAATTCACTTCCATGAGGGGCAGGTTGTATTTAATAGTCCTGAAGAGGAGGAAAGGCTTTACTACAGAAGGGTAGGGAAGTCATTTGAGGGTGGTTGATGGTTTTTAAAACTGGTTTTGAGTCCTTGAAGATCTTCGAGGTGGTTACAGGTGGCTTCTGAGATGGACATTTGTGACGTAACCAGGTCCACATCGAATTCTAGCACAAAATCCAGTTAAGAATCTCCCCATGGGTAATGCTTCACAAGTAACAGCGCAAGGACTGCTGCTTGGCCAAAATGTCTAGAAATAAACCAAGCCCTGCATCTTTAGGTTTATTTCATTTATCAGGGGGGAAAATTGCATTACATTTCCCTCTCATCTCTACACTTCTAATTCACACAATTAGCAATGGAGAAGTTAGACCAAAAGACCTTCTATATTCACTTAACTTCCGTGCTTTATAATATGAACTCTGGATTTTAAGGCCCGAGTTTCTGTGAGATTCCATGATTTACCAGCTGGGTAGTCTTGGGCAAATTTTTCTGTTGGTTTCACCCTTGG